TTTTTTTTTTTTTTGTAGTGGCGTATGAGAAAGCAAGAGGGAGATCATTCCTGTACCAAAATAAAATTTCAGTTTGAGAGATTTCATACACCCAATTTTGTATTAATAATCTGCAAGGATTATTGGGTATAGTTGGAGTTCGATTTAAGTATTTTGAACTACTACTATTTGGATTTATATTCTTTTATAGTGAATATTTTTATTCGTCTTCGCCCGTGGATGTAAGCACCATGTCAAACCATGTTAAATTTTTGTATCGTTTTGTGTGTGTCATTTATTTATTTTTTCTTAAATTTTTTCGTGATCCAACTCCAATAACCTAATCTAGACAATATAAGTTATTCTTTACAATAAATTGGTATTAAAGTTGCGGTAAACTCAACACATAATACATTAATTTTACATGGTTCGTTTATGTTTACTTCCATAAGCGAAAAAGAAAAATTTTATTATTCATAAAGAAGTTAAAGATTTTTTGGAATTGTAGAGAAGATGAGAGAGGGAGAGAGAGAGTCATTGCGGTTTTTTTTTTTTTTTTGTCTGGATATATATTATTATATTAAAGGCAACTTTCTCTTTTAATATCTCCAATGACAGAATCTTTCAATTTATGTGTAGAATGTAATATGTAAAAAATAGAAAACAAAAAGTATTATAAATACTATACTATAATATGTCCAAGGTAATTTATCCTTATATTTATACTCATAATTGAAACTTGAAAAGTTCATATTTTGTTGCGTTTAAACATAGTTAATTTATTGAATAGATAAAAGTCATTTCTAATTCTTGAATCAATTCTGGATTTTTTTGTGTTTTAAAGAATCAATTTTGTATTGCTTCCAAGTTAATTGAGCTGCCAAAGGTCTACTGGTTCTCTTCTATATATATATATATATTTATTTATTTATTTACTGTGTGTGTGTGTGAGAGAGAGAAGTTAAGTAGCTTGCAGTTGCCAAATAAACAGAACATGTTATAATATTATTCCACAACATCACTATATTGAATATTTTTTTGTGGTCTAGTTTAAAAGAGTTTGTTCCTCCTTAAACATAAAAATAAAATCTCCTTAAACATACTAGCATGACAAATGATATTTTCTAATATTCATCATATAAATTTCCTTATCACAACTCGGTATGCTTCTGTAGATGCTTTAACAAAATCAACAAATGGGTTAGACCCTAGAAGCCCATTGATACCTTTTAATATCAGGCTTTGAAGTGACTTCTAACTTATTCAATATATCATCATTATTATTTTTTCTTGTTTTAACCATTTTTACGAGAGGTGCAAGAAATAATATTTCATTCCTTAATTTTTTAGATTCAAATTTTAAAATTAGCATTGATTAGAATTTATAAAATTCATCTAAGCACACTAAGTGATATGAAGGTGTATTTTTTAAATTATTTTTTGTTTTTAAATAATTTTGATCTACGCATAAATTAGTTTTAAAATACTCTTTTATCTTCCGATGAAAATAAAATCATTTTGGCATTATACAGGGAACATGACTGCGGAAGAACATTTCTCTGGTTCCAATATATTTTTAGTTTGGCAAGGATAAGGATTGGACAATTATCTAATTAAGGATAGGTGGACACACAAATTTGTTTCTTATCCCTTCAATAGATGTGGCCTAACTTAGAACTGAAATTTGGCAATCTGGTATGGAAAGGCCTATGGATCAGATTTTAAGAAAAACAATATCAAGACTTGATATGTCTTCAGCAACATGCTCATTATTATTATTATTATTGTTATTAGAATGCCATCAGGGTTTTATTGAAAAGAAAACTCACCGTCTGTGCTTGCAATTGAAGGTATTTCAGGTGGAAACTCTCAGAAAGAACAATCTTACCATGTTTACTTTGGTTTCTTTATGAATAAAAAAAAAAAAATCGCCACTTTCAACTTGAGTTTGTATATACTCAATTTTTTTTTATAAAAATTAATTACTTTTAGTACATACTAATCTATATTATTATCATTTTTTGGTTTTGATATAATTCAAATTACTTACAAAATAAATAAAATGGATTGATGATGAATCTCGTCTGATACAAGAATTTGAGTCTACAAAGATGTGAATACATGCATTATAATAAGATCAAACTCCATATCATGTGTTTGAAATGCATAGAAAAATTAGTTTGATGAGCTCTTAATAGTATCTACTAGAAGAAGAGTCAATTGTTGTTGTTTTTGTTATTTAGGTTTTGATAAAAAATTAAAGTAATTTTAGTTAAAAAAAAATTCTAAGTTTCTTTAAATCATATCTAATTGTCAAAACATGAATGATATTATACAATTCTAACAATAAAAAAATTATCTTCAATTCACTATAAAGATTAATTTCATATTATTATGATGCCACGTTAATTTTTTGAATCCTTACAAATCTATTTCACTCGCACACTATACTATGTATGATATACACCTTTGTTTATTAGACTTTAATTTTTTTTCCTTGATATCTTTTACTACTCATTTATTCTGATTAATTGGTTAATCGTTATTTTATATATTATAATATTAATTTTTTGTATTTTGACAAATTTATTGACACGTTGTTTTATCGGTACTCTCAAAAACCTCCTGACATAGTGTGATTAACGCTTAGAGCATCTACTCCGGGACCAAACGCTCACGTATTACTACTATGTAATAATCAGGTTGGATTGGGCTCGATTGCTATAAAGGATAGAGAACATTTCCATCGGACTTTATTTATTAATTTACTGACTCAAAGAATTTATATTTTTGAACTAATTTTTGGCATATTTGGCATATGAAATTTAAATCCACTTTTTTTAATTCCATCAAAAGGCAATCTATGTATTCACGTTAAGATTAAAATTTTTTAGGACATTTTATTTCTCGCCTTCTAGTTTTATATCTATAAAAGAAAAGGAGCACATCCCATGTAATCCTGTCACGTCCAATCTCACCCCTTATACTTCACCACATAACCGTCACTAGGAGTGAGCATTCGGTTAAACGATTCGGTTTTGTACGATTCGGTTCGATTTTTGGTTAACCGAATTAAAAAAAATAAAAACCAAAACCGAACCGAAATAAATTCAGTAAATTCGGTTTGTAACTAAATTATTTCGGTTTGGTTTCGAAATATTTCGATTTTAACCAAAATATTTTGCTATAAAAAAAAAAATCATTACGAGAGAGATGTTTTGTACTAGCACTTAGTCCACTAACCAATGAAGTAACATCTTGTTATCAATTAATCCTTTTTATAAACAATCACAAAGCCTTTGAAGATTTTAACTAAGCTTTAATGAAAACGAGTTCAAGTGTAATAAATTTGCTCATTCAAACACACTCGTATCCCAATTAATTACACTCTGTCACTTTCTTTTCTTACCCCAACGGTCCTCAAAATTTACTTCTCATCTGCGTGTTTCAGTTTCAACAAGAATGAAGATTGAAAAGTTATGGATTTAGAAATTAGGAAATTTTTTACTTTTTATTTCGTTTTCGGTCGAAACCGAAATTTTTTTTCTAAAAACCGAATCGAACCGAAATAAATTCCGTTTTTTCGGTTCGATTTTATATTGTATAATTTTATATTTAAAACCAAACCAAATTTCATAATTCGGTTCGGTTTATTCGATTTTTAGTTAACCGAACCATTTGCTCACCCCTAACCGCCACCTATCTAATCCTTTCCTTCAACAGCAGGGATAAAATGGTCCAAACGGAAAGAAGATAATTATTTTGATGATAAGTCCATGGGCTTCTGTCATGAGCTTCATACTTACAAACTATAATGAATTGTGGGCTTGGAAAAAATGAACAGTTGAATACACATATAAAATATAAAAAACTAAGCGACGAAAAGAAAATGATGCAAAAATAGCAGTTACATATGCTTCAACGCATCTATCCTATATATATATATATATATATTCCTTATTTGTAGCTAAAATATTAATGCAAAAACTTTTAGGAAGATATTTTATTATATCTGCATGCCATTTAGATAAACATCGAGTCAACATAAATCGATAATTTGAGATAGAAATAGATATTATCTTGGCATTAGCTTTAAAGTTCCCTAGTTCAAAAAATAATAAAAATAAATAAATAAAATTTAGAGAACACGCCTTGATCATGACAATGTGAAGAAGCACAGAGTCTGAAATTCTATAGAAACGTATGCTTGTCTCTTTTTTTTTTTTTCTTTTTTTTCATGATATTCAAGGTTTAAAAACTTAGATTAAATCTTCGTTATTTTGTTGAATACACAAAACGAGTACAATTACCTAAACTTCTTTTTACGTACATAAATATTAAAATTTAAAATTACTTATTTAAACAATTAGAGCTTATTTTACTTAAACTAATTTTTTGGTTTTTAAATTTATGCTTGTCCTTTGATCAATGATAGTTCATAAAACCATTTATTGGTTGCAACTTGCATTTTCTTAAAAAGCCTTCAAAAAAAAAAAAAAAAGAAATTGTCAGCTTGTGTTTGTGTTCCATACAAGGATTTGAAAGAGAAATGTAACTGCAATTTATGACCAACCTATAAATAGGCCCTTTTTTTTTTTCTTCATTTATGACTCCACCTAATTAAGCGTTTCTCTAACAAGTAAAATGCCTTTTCTTTTCACCCAAAAGAAATTCCAAATCCAGTTCATTATTCTGATAATAGAGTCCACTTGGTAAGTTTGCTGCCCTAGTCTTAATCTCAGTACCTATATATACTTAATTACTAAAAAAAAAAAAATCTTAAGTTTCAGTCTTTTCTATTTGAGTTCTTTATTCTTGAAAAGATATCAATCATGTCTTAGTAGAGTAATACATGAACTCAAATAGAAATTTTGACAAAATAAAAGCACCGAATTTGTGATTTTTGTCTTAAGAGTAGTAAAATGCTCTTCTCAAACATTCATTAGCATATATATAGAGGACGAAAGGTCACAAGAAAAACATGAACAAAACCACAAGAATCATTAATTCATTTTCAAACAATGGCTTCTATCATACGCCATGCCCTTTTTCTTGTTCTTGTTACAGTACTCTTTTCCCCCATCTTGTTTGGCACCCACAACGTTGTTATAGCTTATGATGACTTAATCAAGCAACAATGTCACAACGCAGAAACACCATCACTATGCATCCAATGCTTAAAATCTGACCCTAAAGCCCCACAAGCTGACAAGGTAGGGATTGCTACCATTGTCATAAACTGCGTAAGCAATCATTCAAAGACCTTGGCATCCAACATGACAGAGCTAGCCTCTAAAGAAGAATTAGACAAGAAGCTGAAATCTGCTTATCAAAGATGTATCAAAGGTTATGCTCTAGCGGACAAGCATCTTTTGAAGGTTGTTTCTTGGTTGAAGACTGGTGATTATGATAAAGCTAACTCTGGTGTTATGTCAGCACTTGAATATGAGCTCCTTTGCCGTGCAAGCTTTGAGGTGTCCAAGTGGGAAATTCCAAGTCTTGTTGTTTACGAGATGAGGGTTTATGAAGCACTTTCTGAGGCTGCTTTTAGAATTATTGATAGGTTCTAAGTTTCAAAATTAAATGAATATGGCTTTTACTCTCTGTTTTTTTTTTCCAAGATTATAAATATTCAGTACTCTATATATATAAATATATGATGTGCAACATATAGCACATTCATTTTACCAATGTAATTGAGATGAAGGGGGAATAAAATTAAATATTTGCTATGGTATTATGCATATGGCTTAGCTATTTTTATTTTTGTCTTTTGAAATCATTATGACTAGTTTGCTTCAATATTGCTAATCTGCCCACCCCACCCCCATCATTTCATGATTTATTTCTTTTATAATTTGTGTGTTGAATCTAAACAGCGTACACTCAAAGAGTCTTTAGTGCTTCAATCTGTGACAACCTTAAAAAATTAAGGAAAAACATATATATAAAGATGCACCACTTCTCCTATAATACAATTAGTTCAACTTAACTAATTAATATTTAGAGCTCTTCCCAATTTGTACCAAAAAACAAGAGAGCTATACATTCACCAAAACTATTAAAACCCACTTTGCTAGTTAGCTTATAAATTATGTTGGAAGATGAACAATATTGATCATCACGAGGCTTATGATTTTTGAATATTGCTAGTTTATTATTGTTAAATCTTCTTGATAATGTATGACATGCTTGCATCAAACTATATATTATAAGCACGGTCCACGTTACATTCAACTATGGATCACAATACTTTTCCGGATAAATTCATAACACTCTGGATTATTATTTTTTTTTCGAATATAAGAGGTGATGGGATTTGATTTCAAATCTTATCAACTTCAGCGATAAAGATAATTGGCACAAAAATTATATATATATATATATATATAGTTTTGAAATAGTAATATGAATTGGTTCTCCAAGAATCATCCACCATTTGATTAGTAAATTTCTATTTTTGGATGAATATAGCAGAATTCAAATAAAAGAAAGGGGCAAGCCCAAGGGCTCATGCTGTTAAAAGTAAGCTTACTCCAGGCCCAGTTCAAGCCCACAGCCCAATCGTCAATAATAACTCCTCCTCCTCCTGCTCTACTTTTCGTTTTTTCAGGTAAAGAAAGAAACAGAGCCGCCACTGACCAAACCCATTTTTTCCCCATCTAAATTATACTGCAAAACAACCCAGAAAAGAAAAGAGCATGAATTCATCAAACCCCACAATTTCTCACTCACTCAATCACCACCGTTGGTTCTCCAATCCATACAAACTATATCCCCAAGGGATCAAAATCAACGGCAGAAGACCACTGACAACATCATGTCTCAATGTAGACGTGAAGGCACCAGATAATTCAAGAAAAGTAACAGCCCAAAACAGCAAAGACGTGATGGAGTTAGAAGGGAAGGTAATGGTGGGGACTTATGGGAGAGCACCTGTTGTTTTGGTGAGCGGCAAAGGCTGTAAATTGTATGATGCCGAAGGACATGAGTATTTGGACATGACTTCAGGGATTGCTGTTAATGCTTTAGGACATTGCGATCCTGATTGGGTTAAGGCTGTTGCTGATCAAGCTCATGTTTTGACTCATGTTAGCAATGTCTACTATTCTGTTCCTCAGGTTAGTGTTTTGTTCATGTTTTCAGTTTCTGTCTTGGATTTTTTAGAGTGGCAGCTGTGCATATGTGATAATGTGTCACAGATGCTGAGAAAATGTGGGATAGTGTAAGAAAGTTGATTTATTTGAAATGGGTTTTCTATATTTTTTTGGAATTGGGTTGTAGGTTGAGAATATAGGGAATTGGGAAAATTTAGTACATATGAAGTAGCGAAATAATGGGCTCAAGAAAGTTCAAGAAAAGCACATTGGTTGCATACTCGTTGAAATGGGGCATTAGAGCTTTTAAAAAGTGTTGTTTGGAAAGTGAGTATTGTTTAGTACTTCAACATAATGGAATGCAATGTGATGAAGACGGGATGCGATGGATAGTTTATCTGACTAGAGTAATGCACTGGATAATGCAACGTTCACTGGAATGGCCTGATTGTCAAGCTAGAGAAGGTAGGCGTTTAGGTGTTAGAGGTTCAATTGGGATTGAAGGGACTGGACCAGGACTAGAAATAAACACATGTTTGTTGTTTTTTTGAAATACATGGAGATTTGAAAATTTTTGAAGTTCTTATGGATGAATCTGCTAAGAAAGTTGAAATGAGTTACTTTTAATGTTTTCTTGTAACTGAACGACCAAAATGCAAATTAATGTTAGTCTAAACGGAAACAAGTTTGGATTTTGGACAAATGTTGCCAGGCCTAAATGAATGAAATTTTTTCAAAATGGGAACTGATCTTTAACACTGGTATTCTTCTAAAATGATATTTAAACCTGCAACAACCTACGGTGGACCATTTCCTGGTTTTCCCAGTGCAACTGGCCCTATCCGGTCTGGATTTGAAAATAGTGGGAATTTGGCATATTCATGTATTTATGTTTTCCATTACTATACTTGATTTTCTTGAAGTCGTATGGTAAAAAGATTCTATCTTTAAAAAATAAGAATTAGTAATGTTTTTTCTGCAGGTAGAGCTTGCTAAGCGTCTAGTGGATTGCTCTTTTTCTGACCGTGTGTTTTTTACGAACTCTGGAACAGAAGCAAATGAAGCAGCTATCAAATTTGCAAGGAAGTTCCAAAGACACTCAAACCCTGATACGAAAGAACCAGCTACAGAATTCATATCTTTCACTAATAGCTTTCATGGCAGGACAATGGGTGCACTTGCTTTAACTAGCAAAGAACAATATAGATCACCCTTTGAACCCGTTATGCCTGGAGTCACTTTTGTAGAATATGGAAATATAAAGGCTACACAAGAATTAATTCAGCACGGGAAAACTGCAGCAGTTTTTGTGGAACCCATCCAAGGTGAAGGAGGCATATATAGTGCAACAATGGAATTTTTGGAGTTCTTGCGAACTGCTTGTGATGATGCTGGGGCTCTCCTGGTGTTTGATGAGGTAATTAACTGAATAAGAGAAACTAAATATTCTTTGTGGTCAATGCCAATTGTCTGAAAACTGCATTTTAATAATGTCTATTTACTTCTGCATGTGCACACAATTTATTCCTACCTTTGCTTTCCCAAAATGTTTTCTTATAGATCAATATAACTCTAGAACCTAAATTGCCACATTGTTATTTGCTTAGGTGCTGATGGTGACTTGTTAGAATTAGCTTGTTTGTTTTTCCTTTTCTCCTGATTAATGGAATTGTTATGGATAAAAAAGAACACAAAAAGTTTGGCGGCATGTATATGCACTTGGGAATTGCGTGGGAGTGCACCTGAAAAAGACTGGAAAGAAACAAACCCAAAAATCAATACCTTGATAGAAAACAAGGAGAACAAATTTTTCTAAAGTCTAAACTAATTACATGACACCGTAGGAGGCTAGTGATGGCTTAGAACATCAAAACACTGTTATTTCCTTAATATTCTGGTCCCCACTTCCACCCTAGAGCATCTGCAGGCAGAACCTTCATTTTTATTTGACTGCTCTAACTCTGAAAACTAAGTTAGACATCAAACTGCCTTTTCATGCTATTAACCGTGAATGCATTTGTCATGTAATTATTTTTACTGGTGAAATTTATTATGTGTTTTTGTGTGAATGTTTTCTTCATTCTGCAGGTGCAATGTGGTTTAGGCAGAACTGGATATCTCTGGGCCCATGAAGCTTATGGGATTTTTCCAGATATAATGACGCTTGCAAAACCACTTGCTGGAGGTTTACCCATTGGTGCTGCATTGGTGACTGAAAGAGTTGCTTCATCGATAAATTATGGTGACCACGGAAGTACATTTGCTGGTGGTTCCCTTGTTTGTAATGCAGCCCTTACTGTTCTGGAGAAAATCTCGAAACCAGAATTTTTGGCTAGTGTATCTAAGAAAGGGCTGTATTTCAAAGAAATTTTGCAGCAAAAGCTTGGCGGAAACTCGCATGTTAAAGAAATCCGAGGTCTTGGGCTTATTATTGGAATTGAGTTGGATGTACCAGCCTCTCCACTTGTTGATGCCTGTCGAAATTCTGGCCTTCTTGTATTAACTGCTGGAAAAGGAAATGTTGTGAGACTTGTGCCTCCATTGATTGTAACAGAACAGGAACTTCGTCTTGCAGCTGATATTCTACAAAATACAGTGTCTGTACTTGATGAGAATAATTCAGCATAAGGGGAAGGAGAAGCAATTGTCATCCTGCAGCCTTCTGTACCAAATCAAACTTCCTTATTCTTGTAGCAGGATTAAATTATAATGTTGTAACTCCTGTACAATCAAAATGGTATGCGGTGGTTGTAATTGTGGTTATATATTAGTAAGGTTTTTTTATCAGAATTTGAGTTCGTCTAGTTCGGTAGCAGATCACAATATGTTAATTGAGACCTGAAACAAAGTACGAGTGGTGTAGATTGCTTGTACGTTATGCAGGGTACGAGTAGTGAAAATTTCAAGGCCTGGGAGGGTGGCTTAAGATCCAGCAATTATTTATTGCAAGAATTTTAAGGAGGAACAAGCTAAATAGCTTTTATATATATATATAGTTCGAGCCTCTACTTTATTTCTATATTTTTAATTTTATTTATAAATAATGTTTGAATTTTAATTTATTCTCCTCATCAATTTTTTTCGATTATGAGCAAAGTTTTTAACCAAAATATCCTTAATTGAAATAAATAATAATAATAATAATAATTTTTTCAAAGATTTCAAAAATAAAACATGTAAATCATGTGATTTTAAGTATTTTTATTTTATTATTGTTTTCATTTTTGCATTTTACTTAGGAGTATTTTGGTAAAGAAAATTTATTCATAATCGAAAAAATTAATAGAAAAACAGATTGAAGACTTAGATAGATTCAAATTATTATATAAGGATATATTAAATTATTTATTTAAAAAATAATTATTTATTGAGGTTATTGTCAAGTTTAATATATATATATATATCATTTTCTGAAAAGAAATAGTACAATGTTAACAAAACAAATAGTGGACATTTTGGCAAGTCAAACACAAACATGACATTTTGTTCAGCACTCAACATCATGAGAAAAGGCAAATAATAATAATAATAATAAATTAAAAAATAAAATAAATAAATAAAACGTGAAGAAAGATCCGAACAAGTCAATACCACATTAAAAACGTTCTAGTATTCTGTAACCTTTACTTGATTATGCACTGTCATGGCGTTAAAATACTTTGATTTGGTGAAGCAAACTTGAGGAATTCGGGATCATGTTCTACTACAGACATTAGCCTTTCATCTAACGTCATCCATGCTTCAATGTCGTTATTGTTCCCTCCAATCTCTTTGAAGATGGTTGTATTAGTGGATCCTGGACCAGAATTTCCTGAGACACCAACCCATATAGGCTTTTCCCCATCCAAAATTTAGCCAACTCGAGAACTCCAATTCTTCATGGTGTTTGGAGCTTATGATCTCTTCTAGTTGGTCCAGTGACTTAGATGAAACTTGAAACCCTTCATCTCCTTGGAGAGCATTTAGGCTGTCAACGTTGATGCTTTTTATTGCTTTTGTAGTTAACGCGACCAAGTCACTCAATTTTATCTTTCGTCAGGCAAGTCGTAGCTTGCAACTCCCTGGTCTCCGAGATTTCCAGCAGAGTTCCTTGAGAAACTAGGTTCTATTCTTTGTCGTATATTGACTTGATGGATAGACACAGACAACCTTGGTGAAGCAGATAGGAACATTGAAGCCTCCGTACAAGATTTCCAAATGAAAGAATAGTGTGTTTCTACCCTACTTGGATTGTCCAAACCTTCTCTTTTTCCTCTGCCCTTAGAGTAGCAATAGCCTTGCCGTGGAAAACGAATCTCTTGGAGAGTACTGGTAGTAGATGCATCGAAGGTTTTGTGCGAGAGGCATACACCGACTGCAACTCCACCACAGTAAAAAAAATGTGTACTTGTACGTTGACTTGAGCGATCTCAGCCTCTTGGTCAGATGGGATGGAAATGTCAAAGGGAGAGGAATTTTAAAGAAGAAATATTTATAATACTTATTTCATCACATACTATCAAATATAGGTACTCATAACTCTAGTTATATAAACTATAATTAATATCTTATATATAAATCATAATAAATACTAAATACATGAATTATTCTATATAAACTACCTACATTTTCAAGAAACTTAATCACTTAAAAAACATCAAAAGATACATGTATTTAGTTATAAGAGAAATCTAGAAATTTTCAATTATTTAATTTCAACACTCCCTCTTAATTTGAAATTTTCTTCTTCACTCTAAGTCTTGCTCTTAATCTTAAAAAATCTTTCAATTTGTGTGGCTTTGTTAAAATATCGAGTACTTTGATCATGAGTCTTCACATATTTGAGCTCCTCTCTTTATTGGCAATGCTCTCTCTAATGAAATGGTATCTTGTGTCTATATACTTGCTTCGTCAAGAAACACTAGATTCTTAACAAGTGTTTGTGCGGACTTGTTGTCAATGCAAATTTCTATAGCTTCTTCCTCGCGACAAATGCAGCTTCTTTCACCAATCTTTTTAGCCAAATAGCATGACAAGTACAAGTGGTTGTTGCCACATGTTCAAATTCACAAGTTGAAAGGGTAACAATGGGTTGCTTTTTTGAACTCCATGAAGAATATAAATACAATAGTACTCTTTCTATCATCAATATCTCTTGCATAATCACTATCATAAAATCCCACAAGCCTAAAGTTATTCGAAGAAGAATAAAATTGCCCAAAGTTAAGTGTACCTTTTAGGTAATGGAGAATTCTTTTAGCCTATGAGTAGATGTAGGAGCTTTCATGAAACGACTAACTACTCCAACTGCAAAAAGAATATTGGATCGTGTACATGTCAAGTATCTTAAGCTTCCCACAAGACTTTTGAAAAGAGTGGGATTTTCTTTTTCTCCATCATCAAACTTGGACAATTTCACTCCAACTTCCGTAGGTGTGTTCATGGCGATTAAAATCAAACTTTTTGAACTTCTTTAAAACTTCTTTTGCATAGCCTTCTTGAGAGATGGAGATACCTTCTTCCATTTGCTTCACTTCTAGGCCCAAATAGTATGACATGACCCCTATATCGGTCATTTCAAATTCAAGTGACATAGCCTTTTTGAATTCTTCAAATAGGATTGGATTGTTATCGATGGAAACAAGATCATCGACATAAAGAGACAATCAAGATATCTCCATTAGCATGAATTTTAGAACAGAAAGCATGCTCATAAAGGCAATGAACAAACTCATTTCTTGAAAGTACTTATCAATGTGACTATTTGATGTCCTTAGTGTTTGTTTCAAACCATACAAAGCTTTCTTTAATCTCAAAATTTTATTTTCATGCCCTTTGACTACATAGCCCAATGGTTGCTTAATGTAGACATTTTCTTCTAAATAACTATTAAGGAAAGCCGACTTCACGTCAAGGTGATAGACTTTCCACTTCATTTGAGTCGCCAATGAAATGAGCAAAAGAATGGTCTTCATACAAGCAATAGGTGCATAAGCCTCTTCATAGTCCACTCCATGCTTTTACTTATAGCCTTTAGCAACGAGCATTGTTTTGTATCTCTCCACTTCTCCACTTCTCCATTAGCATTCTTCTTTGTTTTATACACCCATTTAACTCCAACTGACCTCATGACCCTTAGGAAGAGTTCCTAATTCCTAAGCATTGTTCTTCTTAATTGTTTTGATCTCTTTATCCATTGTTTGTTTCCACCTATTATCTTTCATAACTTCATTAAATGTTAAAGGCTCACTATCTACAAAAAGACAATGAAAGTCATTAAGATCAAGAGTAACTTCTGAGTATTTCTATAAATCTCTCTTATGTCTTTCATCTTCTAAAGCCTTTCACTTGAGCTTTCTTCATGAAAATGAGAAGTAGATGAAAGAGTAATGAATGAGATGGAGTTATATATCGTATAGGCACATCGCCTTCTTCCTCTTTAAAATATGAAAAGAAATGATAAACTTTTTCTTCTTTGGCCTCCTAATGCCATGTTGTTTCTTCATCAAATTCAACATTTCGGCTCACCATCACCTTGCCATTGCTTAAGTTATACAACTTGTAGCCTTTGGAATTTGAGTCATAGCCAATGAAGACATGCTTAATGTTGCAATCATCAAGCTTAGACCTTCCTTGATATGGTATATGAACATATGCAATGCTCCGAAAGACTCTTAAATGATTTAAGCCTTTTTTCCACTCCATGCTTCTTGAGGGTTTGATCTTTAACATTTCTTATTGGAAGACGATTGGCCAAACAAACCACACTAGAAACGGTTTTAGCCCAAAACTCCTTGGGCATATTTTTTGCTTTTAACATGCATCGTGCCATATTAAGAATTGTTTTTCTTCCTCTCTATTACACCATTTTGTTGTAGGGATTTAGGAATCGTTAAAGGATGATGGATCCCATGAGTTTCACAAAATTCATTGAATGCTTCGAAGTGAATTCGCCTCCTCTATCAAACCTTAAAGCTTTAATTTTTTAGCCACTCTTTTTTTCAACAAAAACCTTAAAGTTTTTGAATGCAATAAAAGCTTTCAATTTCTGTTTCAAAAAATAAACCCCCAAGTCTTTTTACTAAAATCATCAATAAAAAACAAAAAGCATTTACTTTTACCAAGTGAAGGTGGATTTATATGTCCACACACATCGGTATGAACAAGTTGAAGTGGCTTCTCTCAAAAAATTCCTTCTAAGCATGTTTTCCAAGAAGACATGCTTCACAAAATTGATTAAGATGGTTGATTGAAGGCATCCCATTCACCATATTCTTTTCTCCCATGACTTTAAGTGCTTTAAAATTCAGATGGCCAAATCTTATATGCCAACGCCATGATTCATCTTTTGTAGTAGCCTTCAAACATTTTGCTTTAATTGTCTTGAGATTCAAATAAACATTTTATTTCTAGATATAAACACCTTAGCAATCAAATTGGCATTTGGATCTCTAAGCCAAAGATATATATCTTTCTTGAGAATTTCATAGCCTTTTTTAAGAAATTAGCCCAAACTCAAAATATTACTTTTAATTTAGCCACATAATAAACTTCAATGATTAGTTTATGGCTACCATCTTTGGAAGAAATTAAAATTATACCTTTTCCTTTAATTAGAATTTGGGAGAAATCTCCAAAAGACACCTTACCTTTCATCTTTTCATTAAGCTCTACAAACTTCTCTTTGCATCCACATATGTGATTGCTTACTCCATTGTCCAAATACCATGAACTATTGGCATCCATTTCTTCCTCCTTGAGTACTAGCAACAAAGTTGACTCCTCAATTTCTTGCTTGTCATCACCAATAAGATTAAGCCTCTCTTCAGTATTTTTATTGGCATTATAACACACCCAAGAATAATGGCCAAAGTTATAACAATTGAAGCATTCAACATTTGTCTTATCATACCTTCTCTCATTTGATCTTTGATAGTATCCATGTCCTTTTCCTCTTTCTCTTCCACAACCTTTAGGTGATGAGTGGCTTTTCTCCTTATTATGTGAATTGTCACCATTACCTCTTCCTCTTTGGCCATAACCACATCCTCTTGCTCATCCATGTCCTCTTCGACTCTTTTCTCTTTTATCATCCTTCAAAGAAGTCTTCACTTTGACAACTTACTCTAAAGACTCTTCTTGTTGCCTTTTGAACTTTTCTTCATTGGCTTGCAAAGAACCCTTTAATTTTTCAATGGTCATGGAGTTTAAATCTTTTGAATCTTCAATGGCACAAACCACATAGTCAAATTTAGGAATCAAGGAATAAAGAATCTTTTTCACCATACAAACATCTTTTACTTTATCTCCATATCTCTTTAATTGATTCATAATTGCTTTCACCCTTGAACAATAATTCAAAATTGACTTGAATTCCTTCATTCTTAAGGTTTCAAAATCACCCCTTAGCAATTGAAGTCTAGCTTTCTTCACTTTGTTAACTCCTTGGAGAGAATTTTTCAAAATCTCCTAAGCTTTCCTTGAGGTGGTTGGATCAGCCACCATTTCAAACATAGAATCATCCAAACTTTGATGGATGAGGGTGGGGGCTTGTTGATCTTTCTTCCTTGTATTTGACATAGCATCCTTCTCATTTTGAGAAAGATCATATTCATCTTCGGGAATCTCATAATCATTTTCTACAATATCCCATACATCTTGAGAGCTAAATAATGCTTTCATAAGATGAAACCAACTCTCATAATTTTCTTTTATAAGACGAGGAAAATGGAATGAAAGAATTCCATTGTTTGCCACCTCTCGAATTTTTTTTCTCTCAACCCTCTTTTCTAACTTTTAGGATCTTGGGTCCGATATCACTTTGTTAGAGAGGGAGAGGAATTCTAAAGGAGAAATATTTATAATACTCACTTCACTCATATACTATCAAATGCCAAATAAGAGGGATATATATATAGGTGCTCTTAACTCTAATTACATGTTTATAATTAATATCTTATGCATGAATCATAATAAATACTAAATACATGAATAATCCCATACAAAGTACCTATATTTTCAATGATTTTAGTTACTTTAAAAAATATCAAAAGACATATACATCTAGTAATAAAGAGAAATCTAAAAAATCCAAATTATTTAATTTCAATAGAAAAATGGTTGGCATGAAGAAATTGGTTTAACAATTCTATTTGCGGTTGTTTAAGAAAATCCATCGAACAATAATTTACTCCGGTTCCTATGAATGGAACACCCTCCTTAAAGTTTTCTATAAAAGAGTTGTTCTTCACCCTCCCGGAAAAGGGATAAAAGGTAGATATAAGTTTGTGAAAATGATGCCTTTAGCTGAGTTGAGATGATCCGGTGGGCACTTTGAGTATTGCTTGTTGGGTAGAAGAAGATCAATGAAAAATAAGTCGA